GTTGAAGTAAAAACAGCCAAGGGAATCTTCAAACGAGAGATTCAACATGTTGCTCCACTGTTCAATGAAGAGGAACCCACACATAAGCATCCGATTGATGATCCATCTGAAAATGGAGAGTCATCTGAAGACCGACAGCCTAGAAAAAGGACACAGCCGAATAGACTGTCGCTAACCATGACAATGTTTGTCATATTGTTACTGTTACCGTTAGCAATGGCGCAGTCAATCAACATAACCCAGTTTGGTTCAAAGCCGGGTATATACTTCGAAAGAGTAGGAACCAGCCAACGTGCGACAACTGACTGGACCATCATTGTCTATTACAACCTAAAGCCCTATTGGAAAGACATGAACACATTCACCATGGGTACTTCAAAAATTGGACATCTATGCAAGCAACTTCAACAAGTAGACGCATGCACCAGCATGTATCAACATTTCAAACATATAGAAGAGGTCCTGCAAGCTGAAAATGCGTTAATAGCAAGGACACGGAAACAAAGAGCTCCGCTGGACATCATTGGAAACATCGCAAGCAGTCTGTTTGGTGTATTAGACTCAACATATGCCCGTGAAATGTCGGAAACAATAGCAAAGGTTAAGGATAACGAGAATCACTTATTAACCCTGCTTAAAAATCAGAGATCATTGATTGACTCTACAATTAATGTAATAAAAAGGGATGAAATCTCAAACTCCAAAAGACTAAGTCGAGTTGAGGACTTTATCACCAAGTCAAAAGGAAGAGCTGATCACTTCATCGCTTTTCAATGGTAAATAACATTGTCGACTCAATTGACTCTATTATCTGCAAACCTCCAACGAATGCAAGCGGAAATTATCAACGTCTTGACAGATATCCGACACAACACGATAAGCCCTGTGTTAATTTCGCCACGACAACTAAAGGAACAACTCGAGCAGATACGGGATCACTTAAAGCCAGGACAAGTTCTCCCAGTAACTCCTGAAAATATGTTAATGGTGTATCAGATGATGAAAGCTGAAGGCACGATTATAGATGATCATGCAATCATCAGAGTTACGTTTCCATTAGTTTCAGCATACGAACTGGAAATCTACAAGCTGACACCTATCCCATCACCAACTGAAAATGGGATAAGTATGTTCGAAGTCAAGACACCATACATCGCAATCAACAGTCACCGAGACGAATTCGTTGAACTGTCAGAGAGTGATCTAAAAAATTGCCATCCGAGAGCAAACAATGATTTTGTATGCTATAATAAGCAAACAATGTTCTCAGCTGAAACAAGTTGTGAATTACAAATGTTCCACAACAAAACGGATCCATCATGCAACTTAATCAAAACAAAAAAATCATTTATATGGTTGAGTATGCATGGGAAAAATCAATGGATATTTTCAACAAAATCATCATTGAAATTATCAACAGTATGTGTAGATGGAATATCGGATATCAAACTACAAAATTCAGGATTATTGATCGCAAAACCTGGATGCATCATTCGAAATTCTTTGATGACCGTAACAAGTCAAAGCACAATGGAGACGACATGGCATTCGTCATACGCTCGGTTCGGAGAAAATGACATCAACAAAACATCAACTGAACGTCCGACAGATACAGCTTCAACGAATGAAGAAAATTTAAATTACAAAGAGCTGTATCAAATGGAGACAAGGCTGCTACCACCGACTAGTTTCAAGCTACCCCACAACCTTGAAAATATCGGTCATCACCATATTGCCATATACATTGCAATGATCTTCATAATGATCATTGTAATAGTTCATTTGGTCAAGAAATGGCACAAAACAAGGAATACTTCGCAGCCAATGCAACAGCCTATCACATCAGCGAATGGAGGCAACACATTAAATCAGCCGTTTACAATCAACATTAATGATGGTTGAACATACCATGGTCAACGGCCGGGAGGATGTACGATTTAGATGTAAACATCAAACCGTATGGTTAGACCTAAATTTATGTTTGTTATTAGGTAGTATGAATTCTCAGCAACCTAAATAAATATTCTCAAAATAACCCAATAAATATGAGATATGCACCGCTGACCTAAACAAATATTCAACAGACAGCTGGATGCACGTGCATGCATGCACATAATCTTGTTATATTGATATACATTCGAGATGATCTGCAGTGGTAAAATGTCACACCATCTGTATGATAATCGTTTTACGACAGTCATAAAATTATCTTAGAATTGACCCACAGACCTTTGCACCCGGACCCATGCAGTGAAATTTGTAATCATTGTTAAGTCATAAATAAATATAGCATGTTTCCATACCTACTTATACTTAGAACTAATTAAACAAGCCTATGATCCTAAGTAAATAATTGTACTAATAGAAACTGTATATATACCTCGCATTTTACCGAATAAAATCAGTACGAAAGAAAACTCTGACGTATTCACATCTCCGAAGCCCAATTTGTTCAAGTACCGATTGCGGCGACATTTTGTTACTGGTACATGAACCGGTGGCATACACATTTATATTTCAGCATACGATTGTCATATTGACAATCACCAGAACCAAGTGAATCTACATCAACAGATTCATTTGATTCGTACAAGTGTATCCCAAAGTTGGAACCGTTATCTCTGGGCTTAAATCCCCCGTACAGTGACAATCAGTACTGATATCGGGTCTAAACCAAATATGCAATATTCTGCAATTTTATGTAACCGTATTGTTTAGAGGAGGATACCAAATGTATCACCTGGTTTAACAATAAAAACAGCCGGTGTTTTTTTTAATCTATAATATAACTCTCTACCTAACTTACATTAAAATCATACTTTTACAGCGGGTGCATGCCTGATAATTGTGTAAAAACACAACTTATTTAATAAATTTTGTGCGTCGGTTAGTCGTGTGTTTGTGTTGTTGCTTTTCGTAAGTTCGCCCTCTTATTATATTTAGCCGCTCTTTGTCGTAGTTATTGCCGTCTATCACTCTCTCTATCACCTAACTCTCAATAACTGTTCTTTCTCTCTCGCTCTTGTAACTTTTTGTGCAGTAACGCTCTCACTTATAAGCTGTTGCTGAACCACTCTTCCTCTCTCATCTTTTACCGATTTCGCTTTAAGCATTGCTCTAAGCATTTGCTCTGCACAGTGGTCTGATTGCTATTTGTTTTGAACTTTTTTTCCCGAAGTAAAAAAAATAAAAGACATAGATATGGAATTTTCTGTCGTCTGTGCCAAAAAAACCTGCAAGAAGCAGATCACCCATGACCAGCCCAATATCCCCTGCTGTCTTTGCGAAATCGTATTGCACGCAAAATGTGTAGGGATCTCGGGCCGTGTAGGAGACGCCATTTCCCAAAACAACGGCCTACATTATAGTTGTGAGGAATGCCGTTCTGTGGAAAACGACATGCGTTCGTTCATGAGGCAGACGCGGAGTGGCTTCAAAGAGCTGATCGTAGGCTTTAAACAGCAATATGATCGGCTCTTGGCCATGAACACTCAGTTCAGCAGTTTACAGCTGCTGGCTGAGTCTCCGAGGCACAAGAAGTCTACTCCGCGGGACTTGCAAGTGTCGACTGCCTTATGTCCGCCGGCATCTAAAAAACGTACTCCGACCACTCTGTTATGTTACAGCTTAGCGAAACAATACCGCTCAGCTTGGTGGCTTAATTCAGAATGTTTATTGAATATCTTTTTGTTCTTATCCTAGGGAACAATCGTTCTTATGTATAACGAAGAGCGAGAGTTCTCCCATGCATTATATGAAAAGAGTACCACCGCATAAGTATTAGTGCGCGTGGTCTCTGCCTGAGTCTAATGGAAATGCAAGATCAGCGTTAAGGAGCTTTTGAGAGAGAGACCCATCGCCTCAGTGTTAGGGCGTTTGGGTTCTGCCTGAGTTCGGGTAAATGCCTGCTCAACAGTTTTGGTAGCTGACCGATCTGCGTTCAAGTCATAGATCGTTGCTGTGCAAAAGGAATGTGTAACATAAACATAAGTTGTTTATGTCACTGCTCATATGTACGCGCTTATATATGTATTTATATATATAACAGAGTGTTACATATGTACATGCATGGGTTCACTACACCTGCCTTTTTAAAAAAATAACGTAATATATGAAGAATTTTGTGAACTAACATGTATGTTTATGTATAAAAAAATATATATTTTTTATTTTTATTTTTTTTTTATTTTTTTATTTTTTTTTATTTATTTATATATTTATTGTTTTTATTTTTTATTATTTTTTTTTTTTATTTTATTTCCGATGAACTGTGTCATGGTTATATACGTGTGCTTACTTAAGTCATGGTTATTTTACGTATGCCTACCTAAGTCATGGCCATGACAGGATAAAATGAAATTATTATGAAATGAAAAGTTTTAATCTATCCTTATGTACTTTTTGTTTTTTGTCTTTTATATTTGAAATTGTTATATTATCATTTTCTCCTATACTATCTACCTTATATGGTCCAGTATATTTAAAATCTAACTTATGACCTGTTTCATTTTTCAATTAAACCTGATCTCCTGTTTTTAATTTGAAATCTAAGCAGTTTTTATCATAATTAATTTTTTGTTTCTGTTTATTAGATTAAAATAAATAAATAATAATAATAATAAATAAAATAAATAATAAAAGCTTGTTCTAGTCTAAATTTTGATTCTTTAGCGTAATCATCTATATTATAAAGAGGATCTATTCTATCTATGCTATTAAAATGTATTAGTAAGTTCGAAGTCTTACCGAAAACTAATTCATATGGACAATAATCATGTGCCATAGAGGGGGTTGTGTTGAAGCAATATACGAAGTATTGTAGCCATACATCCCAATCTGTTTTGTCAGTTGAGATGTATGAGCGTATGAACTCAATAAAAGTTCTGTGGCTTCGCTCCACGGTTGCTACAGTTTGGTGATGATGTGCAGTGGATGTTATGTTTTGAATATTTAAGTTTTTACATAAATCTTCAATTATTGAATTTTTGTATTCCGTTCCCATGTCTGTAATGAACATCTTCATTGGACCGTACTTTAGAATTAAATCTTCAAATATAGCTTTAGCTACTGTTTTTGCATTTTTGTTCTTGATGGCTACAAGGTATTTTGTCAAGTCACAGATTAAAGTGACTTCATATTCGTTTCCTTTTTCTGATTTAGGAAGTGGACCGATCGTATCCACAATTACCCTATTAAACGCCATTTGTGGTGTTTCAGTTATAGTCAGTTATAGGTCTTGGTATGTTTAGTCGTTTTGGACTTTTGGCATTTGGGATACTTTCTCACATAATTTGTAATTTGACGTGTCATGATTTTCCAATAATAATGCCTTCTTATTTTCGCTAATGTTTTAGCTATACCTGTGTGACCTTTTTGGATTGGATCATCATGGAATGTAGACAGTATCTCTTCTTTTTCTTTATTTTCTTTTATTGTGGTCACCGGCTTGAGTAGCGCTCCTCTTAAATTCTTTAATATTTTATTGCCTTGTTCTTAAAAGAATCTATTGAAATGTTCTCAAAGATTTCTTCGCTCGGTGCCATTTTAAGTTGGCTGATGTTATTTATACCGGCTTCTTTTTCAAGCCTTTGGAAAAATTGACCTAAGTCGAAGGTTCCATTAGTATAAAGGTCGCTAACTTTAATTCTCACATATATCTTTGTGAGTGGATTCAACGGTTCTATCTTTGGTCACCCGTAGAGACGACAGCCAGCTGCAGGACCTGAGCAAAAGCGTCTACAAGGTACGCCGTACAGCAAATGGAAACTTGCTTCTTGAGCTCAACAGAGGCGACGTTTCAAGTGCAGCCTCGATAAAGGAGCGACTGGACAAGGTACTGGAGGGAGCAGTGGCAGTGCGAGCCCTCTCGGAAGAGTCGAGGGTGAGAATGATAGCGATCAGCGACCTGGACCCACTTGTGCGTGCGGAGGACCTCACTAAGGCTCTTGCGGACCAGTTCTCTGTAGATGCCAACTCCGTGACCGTGAGAAGCCTGCGCCCATCCTACAGAGATACCCAGTCGGCCGTAATTGGACTGCCGAGTAAGGACGCCGAAGTGGTCCTGGGCAAAGGCAAGATGAAGGTGGGGTGGACGATGTGCAGAGTCAAGGAAAGGCATTCGAAGCCAAGGTGCTACAAGTGTCTGGAGATCGGGCACATCGCGCCCAAATGCCAGAGTGCAGGGGATCGAACGGGATGCTGCATACGCTGTGGCGACAGAAGCCGCGAGGACAGAGGTCACCAAGCGGGAAACCGGCAGTGCCCCCTCGCCATGCATGAAGTCGTATCAAGGAAACGACGATGGAAGTGATTCAGCTCAATCTGAATCACTGCAGGGCCGGACAGGACCTGCTCCTGCAAACGGTGAGAGAGCTCAATCTAGTCCTGGCTATCCTCAGCGAGCCGTACCAAACTGGCGACAAGGAGCAGTGGGCGACAGACGCAACAGGGAAAGCAGCATTGTGGGCATGCGGAAGTGCTACCTTCACACTTCATAACGTGATGGCAGGGGACGGATTCGTGCGCGCGAGAGCTGAAACTTGTGGGTATACAGTTGTTACCTAGCGCCCAGTCTATCCCTTGAGTCATTCAGCCGGAGCATCGAGGACATTGCAAACGATGAAAGGAGCCCCGGTCCCGTTCTAATCGCAGGGGACTTCAACGCTTGGGCACACGAATGGGGTAGCCAGGCCACTAACGCAAGGGGCCGAGCGCTGCTCGAAACGTTCGCATCACTCAACCTAGCCCTGCTGAATTATATCCGATGCAAATATTGAAACGGAAAACCTTGAGGATTATGAACTAATTAACAATAAAAACATAAAAATAAACAAAAATAAAGAAATTATGGAAAAACTTAATACGAATTTTCCGAAATTTATAAAAAAGGAAATGAATACCCTCTGTTCTGAATACGTTGATATATTTGCATTGGAGAGTGAACCAATAACAGTAAACAACTTTTACAAACAGGAATTAAAACTATTAAACGATGAGCCGGTTTACATAAAAAACTATCGAATACCCCATAGCCAAAAAGACGAAATAAATATTCAAATAAAGAAACTTATAAAAGATGACATAATAGAGCCCTCAGTGTCAGCATACAACAGCCCATTGCTATTAGTACCAAAAAAATCACTACCAGGAAAAACTCAAAAACGATGGAGAATGGTAGTTGATTATAGGGGCATAAATAAAAAACTAATAGCCGATAAGTTCCCACTGCCCAGAATAGATGATATTTTGGACCAGTTGGGAAGATCAAAATATTTCTCCTGTTTAGATTTAACATCTGGTTTCCACCAAATTGAACTAGAGAAAAAGTCAAGAAATGTCACATCTTTTACGGCAGATAACGGAACATATAGATTCAAAAGATTGCCTTACGGCCTCAAAATAGCCCCAAACTCATTCCAAAGAATGATGACCATGGCATTTGCAGGATTATCACCTGCACAGGCATTCCTATACATGGACGACTTGGTCGTATTAGGCTGTTCCGAAGAACACATGTTAAAAAACCTTAGAGATGTGTTCACTATCTGCAGAAAATACAATCTAAAGTTGCACCCAGACAAATGTTTATTTTTTAGTCACGAAGTAACATACTTAGGCCATAAATGCACAGACAAAGGAATATTGCCAGACGACACTAAGTTCACATTAATTCAAAACTACCCAACACCAACATCAGCAGACGAAACAAAAAGGTTTGTTTCATTTTGTAACTACTATAGAAGATTTATTCCAAATTTTGCAGAACAAGCTCGTAATTTAACAAGATTAAGTAGAAAAAATACACCCTTTATATGGACGGAAGAGTGCAATACAGCTTTCAATTTTCTTAAAAATGCTCTTATAAGCCCTCAAATCTTACAATACCCAGATTTCAAAAAATCATTTTGCTTAACAACAGATGCCAGCGGCTTCGCATGTGGAGCAGTACTAAGCCAAGAGTACGATGGTAAGCAATTACCAGTTGCATATGCATCTAAGGCATTCACAAAAGGCGAATCCAATAAATCAACAATAGAAAAAGAATTAGCAGCAATTCACTGGGCTATAACATATTTCAGACCATACCTATACGGTACAAAATTCCTGGTGAAAACAGATCATCGCCCATTAACATACCTATTTTCAATGAAAAACCCGTCGTCTAAGTTAACACGAATGCGATTAGATTTGGAAGAATATGATTTTGTGGTGGAGTACATAGCAGGAAAAGAAAACTATGTAGCGGATGCGCTATCCCGCATAGAAATATCAGATTTAAAAAACTTAACTGCCAAGGCAGCCCAAATACTTAAAGTAACAACACGGTCAGAAGCCGAAAAAGTAAAAACAAAAAACACTCTTAATACGACTGGTAAAGAAAGTCTTAAGGTCCCAAAAATATATGAAGCGCTATATAAAAAAGAAGTAAAACGACATGTCGAGCTCATTCTGACCCTTCCGAATTTACTATTCAAAAAGGGAAAACGAAATTGTAGCCAATTTATAGTGAATGACCTGATTATTAACGAGAAAATTGACTTAGGACAATTCTTCAAGAGGCTTACTTTAGAAGCCGGTAATCTAGGCGTCACTAAATTACAACTGTCCTTAGAAGACAGAATATTTAAATATACCCGGGTAGAAGAATTTAAAGAAATGGGAAATAAAAACCTTACAGACATAACAATTGCGTTAACGCCAAAAACAACATACTTGCAAGACAAAAAATCGATCGATAAAATATTAAAACAATTCCACGACGACCCAATTACTGGAGGCCACCAGGGAGTCAATCGTACAATTACCAAGATTAGAGAAAAATACAACTGGAAAAACATGACAAGGGATATAAAAAAGTATATCAAACATTGTGACAAATGTTTGAAGAACAAAACTCTCAAACACAACAAAGAAGAAATGCAATTAACTGCAACGCCAGCGAAAGCATTCGATACGGTTCAGATCGACACAATAGGACCCCTACCAAGGTCAGAAAATAATAATGAATACGCCGTTACAATTCTATGCGATTTGACTAAATACCTTATTACAATACCAATCCCTAGCAAGCATGCTAAAGTCGTAGCCAGTAGTATCTTTAATAACTTTATTCTTATCTATGGTCCTATGAGGACGCTCATAACGGATATGGGTACAGAATATAAAAACAGCATTTTTTCCGAATTATGCCAGTTATTAAAAATTAAACATAGAACATCGACAGCCCATCACCATCAGACACTCGGTGCAGTAGAACGTACACACCGAACATTCAACGAGTATGTTCGCTCATACATCTCTAGTGAAAAGAATGATTGGGACGAATGGCTAAAGTACTTTACATATTGCTACAACACAACACCATCAACAGTACATGGGTATTGCCCATTTGAACTGGTTTTTGGTAAAAAACCACAAACGTATGACTTTCTAGAAGAAGGTAAGGTTAGTCCAGTATACAACCATGAATCATACGATAAGGAAGTAAAATATAGATTACAGATAGCTACGAATAGATCAAAATTATTATTAGAAAAAGCAAAAACCAAACAAAAAGCATATTATGACAGGAACCTAAATAGCATACAAATAAATATAGGAGATTTAGTATTAGTTAAAAATGACACAGGTCATAAACTAGATAACCAATATAGGGGCCCATATAAGGTAATAGGAATAGACGATAGGAATAACTACATATTAAAGGATAGAAATAAAACCACCAACGTAAACAAAAATAGATTAAAAGTATATAAAGAAAATAAAATATAAACAATTGGTTCTTTTTCACCATTTCATGGGCATAGAAAAAAAAATGTAATAATAATTATATAAAATTACTTATACATACACAAATATATTTAAACACACACAAACACACTTTGTAAAACCTTGTAACACCTTAGAATAACTCCATTACTATATTACGTTATTCCTATAAAAAGGGAGGTGTAGTGTATTCATGCAGTGTGCTTGGCCTAACCAATTTAAGCACCACCCCAAGGCCAAGTTGCAATATGATGCAGTTTCGGCGGCGGTCATTGTCACTGCCCAAAAGTGATGCGTCTGCATCTAAACCGTGAGAACCTTACGTAACGGGCATTGGGCAGGTACCACCGCTGACCGAAAGCTGACGCCTCATATTGCATATTGACTGTGGGAACCTTACGCAACAGGGCTTTGTTTCCCACCTGCATGGAGGCAACTCGCCCCAACGATTTTGTATAAATATAAGCTTCATTTAAATAAAAATAAATCATAACAATTATAACATCCAAGCGTACTACACTACCCGGGTTCTTCTGTCCTCTGTCCACTACAGAGGGTTCCCAGCAGACCTTTTGCAGGGCAGGAGCAGGGTCGATTATCGACCTTACGTTTACGAGCCATTTCGCTCCTGCGCAATGCAAGGTCGCGAATAGGGGGCGTGTACACCGGAAACGATCACGAAGCGATCGTATGTACCATTGGCGAGCATCCCAGATCCAGTCGACCAGTCAGACAGGTTAAGGCGTACAGGGAGGACACACTCAGCCCTAGAGCTCTCGCGCAAAGCCTCGGAAGTTGGGAGGCTTACCGCGGTGAAAGCGCCAACGAGTTGGCCAATCAGCTCGCCACGAGAATGGAGGAGGCCTGCGACGCAAGCATGAGACGGCGCAAGCCGTTCACGCGGCATCACGAGCCATCATCGTCTGGTGGAATGCAGAGATCGCTGAACTTCGCACAAGGTGCCTGATGGCCAGACGAGCGATGCAGAGAGCGAGGCGCACAGATCGATTCGAAACATCCCACCAGGAGTATAGGTCTGCTAGGAAAGCGCTAAAAAACGCGATCCGAGGTAGCAAGCGGGAATGTTTTCTCAAGCTATGCGTCTCAGCGGAGGGAGATCCCTGGGGCAGGGCCTACAAGCTTGTAGTGAAGCGACTCAGCGCCGGAAGTAAGGCGCCAACGGAACCCGAAAAGCTCGAAGCGATAGTCCGCACTCTGTTTTCAAGTAGCCCGCAAACAGCCACAAGGCCCCCAGGAAGCGACGCGCCGCTAACCAACATCGAAGTAATCACGGAAACCGAGGTCTTAGAGGTTGGGAGGAGCCTGCCCAGCAAAAAAGCCCCAGGACCCGACGCAGTTCCGAACAGAGCGCTAAAACTGGCACTCGCATTACAGCCAGCAGCCTTCGCAGCTGTTTTCAACAACTGCCTCAAGGAAGGAACGTTCCCCAATCGGTGGAAGATGCAAAAGCTGCCTCTGCTTAATAAGCCAGGGAAACCACCAGGTGATCCATCTTCGTACAGACCAATTTGTCTTCTGGAC